GGGACATGATAGCAGTATTCCAATATCTCAGGGGCTGCCATAAAGAAGAGGGAATTAAGCTATTTTCCAAAGCACCTGAAGGCAGGACAAGAAGCAACGGGTGGAAACTAATCAAGGAGAGAAGCAACCTAGAACTAAGGAGAAACTTCCTGACAGTGAGAACAATTAATCAGTGGAACAGCTTGCCTCCAGAAGCAGTAAATGCTCCAACACTGGAAGTTTTTAAGAAGAGACTGGACAGCCATTTGTCCGAAATGGTGTAGGGTTTCCTGCCCGAGCAGGGGGTTGGACTAGATGACCTCCAAGGTCCCTTCCAACTTTACTACTACTACTATTATTATTATTATTATTAACAATGAAAACCTCGGACAGGAAGAAGAGCGCCATTGGGCTGGCAAGCAGGTGTCTTGCTCGTCTGTGGCTTGGGGGGGCACTTTTTTGAGTGCCATTGTAACTTCGAACAGTCACTAAGCGAACCGTTGTAAGTCGAGGACTACCTGTACTTTATCACTTTTTTCTTTTGGGGGTGGGTCATCAAGTTTTTGACCCCTTGCTAGGCGATTGGTGGCACTCGCATATTGCCATATCCTAAAAGTGGTAGAGTGGGTGAAAAGGTTGAAAAGCCCTGGATGGGGGTAAGCAACAGTATAGTACAGGGGTAGGCAACTTTGGCTCTTTTATTTATTTATTTATTTATTTATTTATTTATTTATGTGACTTATATACCGCTTTAAGTGCAAGCACTCTCTAAGCGGTGTACACCAGTAAGCAACGTATATATATATATTTACATTGCCCCCAACAATCTGGGTCCTCATTTTACCTACCTTGGAAGGATGGAAGGCTGAGTCAACCTTGAGCCGGTGAGATTTGAACCGCTGACCTGCTGAACACAGTCAGCTAAAGTGGCCTGCAGTACTTGCACTCTAACTGCTGCGCCACCTCGGCTTTATAAGTATTTGTGGACTTCAACTCCCAGAATTCCTGAGCCCTGGGCTGTGGAGGTTACCGTTATTTTTCCATGTATAAGACGCAGCTGCTTTTTGAAGAAGGTGCAGGAAAAAATAGCGTCTTATACACGGAAAAATACGGTAATAGGAAAAATAAGGGAGGGAAAAAGGAAAGAGAAAAGTGTAGAGAAGAAAGGAAAAAGGAAGAAAAGGTGTTGACTTTCAGCTCCCTTTGGTGCAGCAGTATAAGAAGTAACATCAAACCTCAACTTTTCACTTTTATCTAGTGGTATAAACTACTCATTTCTATAACAACAGATCTAATCAGTAAAACCCAAAAGCCAAGTTTCATTTTTTCCCGCCTCAAACACAAAGTCCAGAAGCGGTTTCCAAGCAGAAACAAAAGTACTTTTTTTTTCTTTTATCAAAGCAATCAATTTAGATACCTGCTACCTCCATCAAGTTCTGCAGCCACTTGTCCATTGTGGGCATCAAAGCGTCCTTCCATTTTTGTGCATAACAGTCATCTTGCTGCCGACAACGTATATAACATCAAAGTGCCAATTTTTCCCCCCCAAGTCTCTCTCCATTAAACCCAGAAGAAAAGTTTCTGCTTTTATCTTTGTATTCACTTTGAGAATTTTCTTTATTAGAATACAAATCTTACCCCAATATTTCTTTGCTTTATCGCATGTCCACCATAAATGATAAAAAGTCCCTTGTTCACATTTGCATTTCCAGCATTCAATTGAAATACCTTTATGCATTCTTGATAACTTACCTGGTGTTAAATACCAGTGATACATCATCTTATAATTTTTTTCTTTTAAGTTGTAACTTAGTGTACATTTTAAACATTTCGTCCACATATTCTCCCGTTGTTCAAGTTTTGCATTATATCCAAAGTTCCTTGCCCACTGAATCGTGCAATGCTTTACATATTCACTTTCCAAATTCAAATCCAGTAAGGTTTTATAGACCTTAGCCATGATATCTTCATTGCTACCATACAGTAGGATTTCCAATTCATTTTTAAAAGAGTCAAATCCATAACTATAATGGTTATGTGAAAATAATACGGCAGACTTAAAAAAAAATTCCAATTCTGGAAGAGTGCAACAGTTTCCTTGCTGAAAGGCCTTTTCTGTTTAACGTAGGCATGTATTTCTTCCACTGTCAGCTCCAGTGAATTTTACTTCCTTTTTTCTCACCACTGAGATGAAACAGGCTTTTGTGCCTAGGGAAATTGATGTCAATTAGCATTGGTTCCATAGTGTACGTGTGCGGAATGGAAAGGGCAGGGTAGGACTCCCAGTATGGTATTATTTCCAGAATAAATTGGAAGACATTCTTGCTGAAAGTTCCTCTTATTCCTTCCGTGTGTGTGTGTGTGTGTGTGTGTTAGAAAATAGAAATTAGCACTTTAGTGACTCATCCCAAGGAAGATTCTATGGTCTAGTTCAAAATCTTTATATCCGCTAGCAGTTCTGCTGAAAATCCTCCATAGACGTAAATTTGTATTGCTTGAAATTGTGGAATGTCTTAGTAAAATCCAATCCCTCTTGGGAGAAGAGTCAATTTTAGGGCAAGGCCTTTGCAGTTTAGCAGACGTGTCAAACACAAGGCCCGGGGGCCGGATGCGGCCCGCAAAGTGGTTTCATGTGGCCCACGAAGCTATCCTGGAAACTGTGAGGGAATGGCCCCCGCTGCCTTGGCCCTGGCCCAGGCCATATCCGGAGGAAGAAGAAAGAATCTGCTTTTGAGCTGTGTTTGGGAATCTGTTGTTGAATGTCTAGAGCAGGGGTTGTCCAACCTTGACAACTTTTAAGACCTGTGGACTTCAACCTAGAGAAGCCACAAGAAGCGATCCTATAGTGCAGGGGTGTCAAACTCAATTTCACTGAAGGCCGCATCAGCATTGCGGTTGCCCTGGGGGGGTGGTGATGGTGTGTGGCCGGAGTGGGTGCAGCCTACTGGGTGGGTGTGGATGGAGTGGGTGTGGCCTACCGGGTGGGCATAGCCCGTTCTACATCATTCGCCTCAAGGGTGCCTATGGGGGCCTGGGCAGGAGTGGGACAGATCTGAGGGTCTCTGGCAGAAGGGGGTGGGACCGGGGCAAGTGCCAAGGCAGGGTCCGCCGGGGCAAGTGCCAAGATGGCCACCACAAAATTGTACATTGGCTCCCGGCCGGCCTGGGCCAGGGCCAAGGCAGCGGGGGCCATTCCCTCACAGTTTCCAGGATAGCTTCGTGGGCCACATGAAACCACTTTGCGGGCCGCATTCGGCCCCCGGGCCTTGTGTTTGACACGTCTGCTAAACTGCAAAGGCCTTGCCCTAAAATTGACTCTTCTCCCAAGAGGGATTGGATTTTACTAAGACATTCCTTGGCCCCCCTGATTGATAACCATTCATTCATTCATTCATTCATTCATTCATTTTGTTTGTATTTCTACCAAGTGACTGGTTTCTCAGGCGGCAGCCTGAAACCATTTCATACGAAAGAAAGACCAAATTGGAGGTATCTTGCATATAAAGCTACTGCCCCTTGATTATCAGGCGGCGGGGGCCACCTAGAAACCAGGTGACTCTGAGTTCTAGTCCTGCTTTAAGCTCAAAGTCAGTTGAGTGATCGTGACTTGAGTCAGCCAGTAACTCACTCTCAGCTCTAGGGAAAAAGACAGCGGCAAACCACTTCGGAAATCCTACCGAGACAACTTCAGGGGCTTGTCCAGTCAGTCGCCAGGGGTCAACCCTGACTTTTGGGCACCTCCCTCCAATTGTGAACGGGTGTAAACCTGCCTTTGTGCCTGACAGGTTGAGCCTGTGCAAAGAAAGTTAAACCCCGTGCGTGTTATTTACGTAGTGGTGAAAAAGGGAGCGTTCTGCTGCACTGGGCTCTTACGAAGCGTAGGGTTTAACTGCAGCTATGTGTAGCCGTGAAGGAGAAACGTAGAGAGTTAGCATGTTAGCAACGCAGGCGTTTTAGTGACAAATCCTTAACGTAGGTTGGGGAAATGGCTCGCTTCTGCCTCAGAAATTTATATCCGACGTGGAGAAGCGGAGCTGTATTTTGTGATTGCAAGAGCGTCTGGTTGATGTCATGACTTTGTTCTGTTGCAAATAGCAACGTTTCATCTTTTCGCACTTGACTTAACAACGAAGTGCCACACTCGTTATGTCCACCTCGGTTCAACAGGATTATAGGGAGGCCTCGGGGTGGGAAGAAGGCAGCTTTATAATGAGACGTAGGGCATAGGCAGCTTTAGAGAGAGCTGGTTTGATTTCATTTTGCCTTTTTTTTTTGGGGCAGCATAAAAATGCAGGACTGAGCAATGCGTTTGCCTTTTTTTTAAATAAATGTTTTATTAAGTTTTATAAGGGTGGGGAAAGGGTAAGGTCGGTATGGGTATTGGATAGGGTTGGGGAATGGAATTGGGATAGGGATAAATACAATAGTGGGGTTACCCACAACAGAAATTCAGTGCTTTAGCAAGCAAGACTATTGCCCGGGTACAAATATTAAATAATAGTAGTTAATATAATACTAAACAGTTACAATAACTGATAAATAACAGCAATCATAAAAGTAAAGCTTAATCCAGTGTTTCCCAAACTTGACAATTTTAAGGCATGTGGACTTCAACTCCCAGAATTCCACAGCCAGCGTTGCTGGCTGTGGAATTCTGGGAGTTGAAGTCCTCATGCCTTAAAATTGTCAAGTTTGGGAAACACTGGCTTAATCAATGAATATCATTCAACCTGTTAAATTTCACCATCCTTTCTCATTCTATCGTGTTGCTAACCATTGATAAAACATTTTCCCAAGTTTTGAAATAAACTGAATCTTCTTTCTCTTTAACCTCAAGTTAAATCTATCCATTTCTGCACATTCTAAGATTTCGGTGATTATAATCTGGTCAGATGGTAAGTTTTCATTTTTCCCACATTGGGCAAATATTGTTCTCGCGCCTGTCAATAGGTGTAATATTAAATATTCATTCTCTTCTCCATAATTAACGTCCTAATATTCCCGCGTTTGCCTTTTGACAGGTTTCATCTCTCGTTAAAATGTCGAACGGTTATGAAGACCACATGGCGGACGACTGCCGGGACGACATCGGGAGGACAAATTTAATCGTTAACTACCTTCCTCAGAACATGACCCAGGATGAGTTGCGGAGCCTGTTTAGCAGCATAGGGGAGGTGGAGTCCGCCAAGCTTATTCGCGACAAAGTGGCAGGTAAAATATTCCTCTTGGAATAAAAACTAGGACCACAGCTGAGCCCAAGCGTTTTGTGGCGAAGCGAGACAGTTGTTAAGCGAATTCTGCCCTATTTTACGACCTTTCTTGACGTGGTTAAGTGAATCACTGCAGTGGTTGAGTTAGTAAGAGGGCAGGACAAGCAGCAGCAGATGGAAACTGACCAAAGAGAGAAGCAACCTGAAATTAAGGAGAAACTTCCTGACAGTGAGGACAATTAATCGGTGGAACAGCTTGCCACCAGACGTTGTGGGCGTCCCATCTCTGGAGATTTTTAAGAAGAGACTGGACAATCCCCTGTCTAAGATGGTCTAGGTCACAGGTCGGCAACCTGCGGCTCCGGAGCCGCATGCGGCTCTTTGAGCCTTCCCCTGTGGCTCCCAGCCTGCCTTTGCAGAGAGAGACAGAGACAGGCAATTGCACTTCCCTGCTTCTCTCTCTATCTCTCTCTCTGTGTCTGGGTGTGTGTGTCTGTGTGTGTATGTGCAAAAGAGAGTGCACTCACAGTGTTCTCCGAGGAGCTGAAAAGCTTACTGGGTGGAGCTCCTTCCTTTGCTGCGTCTCTGCAGGAAGCAGGAAGGGCAGGAGAGAGCTAGCTAGCCCAGCTAGGCTGACTCAGGAATTCTGGGAGTTGAAGTCCATGAGTCATAAAAGAGACGAGGTTGCCTGCCCCTGAGCTTGTTGGACAACAGGTTGAAGCTTGCCAGGTGAGCAGCAGATAGGAGGGGGGGAGAAAGAGAGGGAGAGAAATAGAGAGAGAGAGGGAGAGAGAGGGGGGGGGAAGAGGAGTGGCAGACCAAGGGCAGATAGAGAGGGAGGGAGAGAGACAGAGAGAAAGAGAGAGACCCTTTTGACATCTAAAATGAAGATAACACTGCATATATCCTTTTTTTACCTTTGTGTGTATGTAATTTTATTCTCTTAAAGCATTCTCCTGGTGATCATTGTTTTAATAGTATGGATATTCCCAAGAGTCATATTTTTACTTTTATTTTTAATGTCATATTTTTACTTTTATTTTTAATATACACACATACATACATAACATACACACACACACAAACACACACACACCTATAATAAAGGTAAAAAAGGATATATGCAGTGTTATCTTCCATTTTAGATATCAAAAGGGTTTTGCGGCTCCCGGTGTTTTGTTTTTGGTGGGAAACGGGTTCAAGTGGCTCTTTGAGTGTTTTGGGTTGCCTACCCCTGGTCTAGGTTCTCCTGCTTGAGCAGGAGGTTGGACTAGAAGACCTCCAAGGTCCTTTTCAGATTTTATTCTGTTATATATTCTATTCTGTTCTATTCTATTCCATTCCATCCATTCCATTCCATTCCACATATTCTATTCTATTCTATTCTATTCTATTCTATTCTATTCTATTCTATTCTATTCTATTCTATTCTATTCTATTCCATTCCATTCCATTCCATTCCATTCCATTCCATTCCATTCCATTCCATTCCATTCCATATTTTCTACTCTGCTCTGCTCTATATTCTATTCTATTCTATCCATTCCATTCTATTCCATTCCATATTTTCTACTCTGCTCTGCTCTGCTCTATATTCTATTCTATTCTATTCTATTCTATTCTATTCTATTCTATTCTATTCTATTCTATTCTATTCTATTCTATTCTATTCTATTCTATTATTATTCTATTATTATTCTATTCTATTATTATTCTATTATTCTATTCTATTCAACATGGTTAAATGAATCTGGATTCCCGTTGACTTTGTTTATCAGATGGCAAAAGGGGAGTTACATGACCCCGGAACACTGCAACCATCATTAATATGAGTCAATTGCCAAGCATCTGAATTTTGGTCATAGGACTATGGGCATAGTTGTAACTGTGAAAAATGGTCCTAAGCCACTTTTTTTCAGTGCCGTTGTAACTTCGAACGGTCACTAAATAAACTTGTGAATCAAGGACTGTCTCTGCAGTGATATACTGAACTCTTGCTTATCAATGAGACAGGAGAACAAACTTTTTTTGGGGGGGGGCTAAGGAAAAAACAGAGTTTTGTTCCTCTTGATTAAAACTCACGTTTCAGCAGTTAACGATGTGTCTGTCTTACCCATCAATTGGGGTTAGCTTTGAGATGTCTGTGGCTAAAAGTTAATGCGTTCGGTGTGCCATATCACACCTCCTGATTTCTGACACAGTTATGAAGAGTGGATCTGACCAGAGGTTTTTTTTTAAAGATCCAGAAACAGTGGTGCCAGTCCCTTGTATCTTAAGTCACAGCGACTGCTACTGAGTGGCAGCCCACTGTTAGTAACTTTCAAGAAACAAAGGTTGGAAACTGATCAAGGAGAGAAGCAACCTGGAATTAAGGAGAAACTTCCTGACAGTGAGGACAATTCACCAGTGGAACTGTTGTGGAAAAAACCACGATACTTACATCAGAAGACAAGACCACGAAGGGTTGGAGAAAAGAGGCTTTATTTGTGCACAATGGTTCAGAGCATTCACATGACAGATTCTGAACCCCGAGTTACTCCCAGGGTGTCATTTTTATACAGCTTGCCGCCCACGCTTAACCTAATAGATGACTTCTTATCTACCTTTAACACACTAAAAGAGAGAAGTTCCTATCTTGAGACAACACACATAGGAAAAAGGGAAGTTTATCCAATGTGCGGAAAACCACACTCCCCTACACGTGTAATATCTTACACCATTTGTGACTTTTGGTTGGCACTTCTTGTAAAAATGTTTCTTCATAGAATCGCACACAGGCCATCACACTCAGCCAGTTGATAGTATTAGTTCATGCTTTCAAAACATCACCTCTGTTAATTAAAATATAATTCAAAAGTACTTTATCATTTCTATTAATGGCAATTTTCCATCTACCTCAGAACGGCTTGCCACCAGAAATCGCGGGTGCTCCGTCACTGGAGGTTTTTAAGAAGAGACTGGATAGCCACGTGTCTGAGATGGTCTAGGCCAGGGGTAGGCAACCCAAAACACTTAAAGAGCCACTTGGACCCTTTTCCCACCAAAAACAAAACACTGGGAGCCGCAAAACCCTTTTGATATCTAAAATGAAGATAACATTGCATATATCCTTTTTTACCTTTATTATAGGTGTGTGTGTTTGTGTGTGTGGGGGTATTTGTGTGTGTGTGTGTATGTATGTATGTGTGTGTGTATATATATATATATATATACACATATACATATACACACACATACACATACACACAAAGGTTAAAAAAAGGATATATGCAGTGTTATCTTCATTTTAGATGACAAAAGGGTCTCTCTCTGTCTCTCCCTCCCTCTCTATCTGCACTTGGTCTACCACTCCTCTTCCCCCACTCTCTTTCTTTCTCTCTCTCCTCTCTCTCTCTCTCCCTCCCTCTCTTTCTCTCTCTCTCTTTCTCCCCCCCCTCCTAACTGCTGCTCACCTGGCAAGCTTCAAGCTGTTGTCCAACAAGCTCAGGGGTAGGCAACCTCGTCTCTTTTATGACTCATGGACTTCAACTCCCAGAATTCCTGAGTCAGCCTAGCTGGGCTAGCTAGCTCTCTCCTGCCCTTCCTGCTTCCTGCAGAGACACAGCAAAGGGAGGAGCTCCGCCCAGTAAGCTTTTCAGCTCCTCGGAGAACACTGTGAGTGCACTCTCTTTTACACATACACATACACACACACACACACACACACAAAACACAAACACACACACACACACACAGAGATTGAAGCAGGGAAGTGCAATTGCCTGTCTCTGTCTCTCTCTGCAAAGGCAGAGGAGGCTGGGAGCCACAGGGGAAGGCTCAAAGAGCCGCATGCGGCTCCGGAGCCGCAGGTTGCCGACCTGTGGTCTAGGCCAGTGATGGCGAACCTTTTAGAGACCGAGTACCCAAAAACTGGCCCCGCTCCCGCTCTGCCCTTCCATCCCCTATCCCGCCTGCCCACCTCGTCCCCCGATCTGCCTGCCTGCAGAGCCACTCACTGCCTCCAGGGCCCACTGCAAATCACCTAGGCAGCCCAGCAGCACTATGGCGGCCACACTCTCTGCCCGCGCCCTGCAGCATCAACTGCATGATGGGGTGTGAGGGCAGAGTCTTGTCTACACTGCCTGGCTGCCATGTCCTTGGCTGCGCTGCTCCGTGTGGGCCACGCTTGGGGGGGGGCGACTCTCCTCCAGGGGGGCTGCTAGTGAAGGGGGGAGTCGTGGGAGGAGGCGAGGTTGGGGCAACGGCACGTGTGCCCACAGAGAGGGCTCCGAGCGCCGCTTCTGGCACGCGTGCCATAGGTTCGCCACCACTGGTATAGGCTCTCCTGCTTGAGCACGGGGCTGGATTAGAACGGGGGTCCCCAACACCCCGGGCTGTGGACCGGTACCGGTCTGCACAAACAAGTGAAGCCCCATCTGTGGGATGCAGGCAGCACGTGAACCACGGCCCCTCTGTTCCACGGGAAAACCTCTCTCCATAGGACCGGTCCTTGATGCCCAAAAGCAGTGGTTCTCCACCTGTGGGTCGGGACCCCATTTGGGGTCGAACGACCATTTCACGGGGGTCGCCAAACAACGTAGTCCGCCATTTCCCCCCCCCCCCTTTTCCTTAGCTGTGCTACTCCCTTTTATTCTATTGGCTTTGGAAAGCCAATAGAAGAGACTCTCTTGAATAGTCTCTTCTTAAAAACTTCCAGTGTTGGAGCATTCACCCGCTTCTGGAGGCAGGTAGTTCCACTGGTTAATCGTTCTCACGGTCAGGAAGTTTCTCCTTAGTTCTAGGTTGCTTCTCTCCTTGGTTAGTTTCCACCCGTTGCTTCTTGTCCTGCCTTCAGACGCTTTGGAGAATAGCTTGACTTTGATGGGCCTCGAAAGAAACTTTTTCCACCTTTGCAATTCCCAGTGCACTCCTGGTGGATTTAGCCTCCTCCCGCCATTATAGAGATCCCTGTGGAAGCAGAAGCTTCTGAAATAATGTTAGATTCGTTAACTGTACAAAGGGTGTGTCCTAATCTTCAGAGTGAAAATGTAGCCCTTTCTTTCTTTTTTTTTGGTGCTCTCTTGGTCAATGTCCGTGGAGATCCTCAGTCCCCCGGCTCCTGGTTATCCAAAAGGTGCAACCTTTTTTTCAGGAGGCAACTGGACGTTCTTGTTTTCCTTTGAAGACATTCTGCTTCTCCTCCCAGAAGCTTCTTCGGCTCTCAAACAGACAAACAAACAAAAAAAACAACGAAGTCCAGCTGCCTCCTGAAAAAGCACGTTTGAGCTTGGCAGTTTTCTTGCAGAAGTTTCATTACCCAAACTAGGTAACATGCTACTAACACTAGCGCTGATGGTGTTCCCTAGTTGGGTCATGAAACGTCTGCAAAAAAAACCAAAAAAACCCCGCCCAGTTCAGAGAGGACCAAGATCCCCACAGTTTTCCTCCATCTCTATCACCAGTCTTTTTCTTCCTCCTCCTCCTCCTCCTCCTCCAATCCCATTCTCTTCTAGCACTGATGATGTTATCTAGTTGGGTCATGAAACGTCTGCAAGGAAACCACCCAGTTCAGAGAGCATTAAGGACCCCACAGTTTTCCTCCTTCTCTATCACCAATCTTCCTCCTCCATGTCCTCCTCCTCCTCCTCCTCCTCCTCCTCCTCCTCCTCCTCCTCCTCCTCCTCCTCCTCCTCCTCCTCCTCTCCACAGACCCTATTCCCTTCTAGCACTGGTGATGTTCCCTAGTTGGGTCATGAAACGTCTGCAAGAAAACAGCCAAGCTCAGAGTGCTCCAGGGACCCCACAGTCGTCATCGTCGTCGTCGTCCTCCTCCTCCTATCCCATTCTAGTACTGATGATGTTATCTAGTTGGGCCATGAAACGTCTGCAAGGAAACCACCCAGCTCAGAGAGCATCAAAGACCCCGCAGTTTTCCTCCTTCTCTATCACCAATCTTCCTCCTCCTCCTCCTCCTCCTCCAATCCCATTCTCTTCTAGCACTGATGATGTTCCCTAGTTGGGTCAGGAAACGTCTGCAAGAAAACAGCCAAGCTTAGAGTGCTCCAGGGACCCCACAGTTTTCCTCCTTGTCTGTCACCAATTTTCCTCCTCCTCCTCCTCCAATCCCATTCTCTTCTAGCCCTGATGATGTTCCCTAGTTGGGTCAGGAAACGTCTGCAAGGGAACCACCCAGCTCAGAGCACCCGGGAGCCCTCATTTCAACCCTGAGCTACCGTTATTTTCCTTCATCGGCAGCCATTTACGCTTCAGATTTGTGCTTCCCTTTTGTTTTGAAATGTGAACTTTTCATATCGGAGAATGATGGAAGAGGTTGGGGGGTTTTTTTTTTGGTTGTTGTTGTTGTTGCCTCTCTGAAAAGAACGAAAGGGACGTTTTTTTTTCCCCCTACAGGACACAGCTTGGGTTACGGTTTTGTGAACTACGTGACCGCAAAAGATGCCGAAAGAGCAATCAACACCCTGAACGGCCTGAGACTTCAGTCCAAAACTATCAAGGTAGAAAAAAAAAAAAAGTCTGTAATGGTGGCTGGAACCGGCTACCTTAACAGGGCTTGTTCCACCTCCCCAGAACTTTCCCTCTGCTTGGCGATTGCGCCCTCCTTCCGCCCGATCCACGGTGGACCCTCTAAGCTCCCCCCGGCCCCTCTGCCCCCCTGCAGACCCATTTCTTTCCCCCTGGAGGTTGCTGGACCTCTCCCCCCCCTCCCTTGGTCCCAAGGCCCAGAGAGCAGCTGGGCAGGATTTGGGGGGGGGGAGGAGGAGGAGGGGGAGCCTCCTCTGTTCATGGGACTTCAGTAGAAAGAAATATATTAAGGCCAGAGTTGCATCCCTCAGGTAAAGGAGGATGGTGATGGTGACGAAGGAGACAACGTTGCTTGTCCTTGCTCTTTAGGGAACTCTGTGCCTGTAAGAAGGAATGTCTCTCCTTAGATGGAAGTTGGGGCCTGCATCAGATTTAAAAAAAATAAATAAATAAAAATGGATTGCAGCCTGACTAGTTAAGACATCTTAGTAATGGGTTTGTCCAGCTTTCCTCAGCTGACACATTTTCAGATGTCTCCCTTCCTTCCTTCCTTCCTTCCTTCCTCCCTCCTTCCCTCCCTCTCTCCCTCCTTCCTTTCTCCCTCCCTTCCTTTCTCTCTCTCTCTCCCTCCCTCCCTCCCTCCTGTATCCATCCATCTTTTTTCCTGTATCGATCCATCCATCCCTCTTCCCCTCCCTCCCCCTGGGCCGCTCGAAAGCGTTCACGGCAAAGGGCAAGGTGTAAAAGTACAAAATACAAAAAAAAAAAAAAACAAAACCCCACCATTTTATCCCTCCGCATAATGCCCAGCCCAGGTTCTCCTCTGTGGGCCGGTGTAAGAGCCGTGGGTCGGGGCTTGACTTGCGGCGCCCGAGGTGAGAACCACTGGAGAACCGGGACGGTCTGAGCGACCCAGCTGCCCTGGCTTTGCCACGGGGATCCTCTGGCTGCCTGCCACACCCCTGTGAATGAGCTCCTTGTCCCCTTCAAAGCTGGCATTCTTCGGCTTTGGGAAGCCCAACTGGGGACTGTAACCCTGGGATGCTTCGTGGGTTGCAGGGTTGTGAGTCAGCTGTCCTTGCAGATGGCTCGTCTTTTGCCTCTCTGCTTAGCGCCGCCTTCCCCGTAGCATCCTGTGAGCTGGAAAAGTTGTGAATTGCTTAGAGGCTGGCATGGTACGTGGTTCCAGCAGGTGCCAGCTTCTTCCCGCGCCCTTGCCAAAGCCATTTTTGGCTCCGCCAGGTAATTGCACGTGAAAGAGAAGCTGCTTTTTCTGCCTTCTGTGTGTTTCACCTGCTAGGTGGGTTTGGCAAAACAATTTTTATTGGCTAAGGCAGTGTTTCCCAAACTTGACAATTTTAAGGCATGTGGACTTCAACTCCCAGAATTCCACAGCCAGCATTGCTGGCTGTGGAATTCTGGGAGTTGAAGTCCACATGCCTTAAAATTGTCAAGTTTGGGAAACACTGTGCCAAGAAAAGGGCAACAGACAGATTTTTTTCACCCCCCCCCCGATAAAAAAATTAGGATTCAAAGCCCTTTGGGAATAGAAGCAAACAAAAGCACAAAACCTCAGCACCATTTTTGGGGTCTCCCTGTGTCGTTCGTTGCAGCTGCTTCGATCATCTATGGCAGGGGTAGGCAACCTTGGCTCTTTTATGACTCGTGGACTCCAACTCCCAGAATTCCTGAGCCAGCCATGCTGAGGGGAAAGGGAGAGGTTTCCAAGTTGAGCCAGGCTGGCTGAGGAATCCTGGGAGTTGAAGTCCACCAGTCATAAAAGAGCCAAGGTTGCCTACCCCTGGTCTATGGATATTCTCAGTCATCCAGGTCTGAGCTTTTCAACCTTTTCACCCATTGTACCACTTTTAGGATATGGCAACATCCGAGTACCACCAGTCGCCTAGCAAGGTGTCAAAAACTTGATGACCCAAAAAAAGGGATAAAGTACAGGTAGTCCTCGACTTACAACAGTTCGCTTAGTGACTGTTGGAAGTTACAATGGGACTGAAAAAAGTGCCCTCCAAGGCACAGCCGAGCAAGATACCTGTCTGCCCATCCGATGGCGTTCTTCCTCCTGTCTGAGGTTTTCATTGTTGTGAGCATTTCTGTTGAGGATTGGCAGCGGGGGTGAGGTGGGGGGTGTTTGGTTTTTATTCCCCCCCCCATCTGCTGGGTGGTTGCAGCAGGTTTTGGTCACTCCGCATGACCCGGGGACACTGTGACTGTCATAAATATGAATCGGTTGCCAAGCCTCTGAATGTAAATCACAAGACCCTAGAGAGGCTGCAACATTCCAGCTGATCGGCGCTTCTTCTGGGCTCAGCAGAAGCCCCAGGATCAGTGCTGCTGTCCAGCTGATTGGTGCTTCTTCTGGGCTCAGCAGAAGCGCCAGGATCAGTGCTGAGCTCCAGCTGATCGGCGCTTCTGGGCTCAGCAGAAGCACCAGGATCAGTGCTGCTTTCCAGCTGATTGGTGCCTCTTCAGGGCTCAGCAGAAGTGCCAGGATTAGCGCCGAGCTCCAGCTGGAGCCTGGCGCTGACTCTGGTGCTTCCGCTGACCCCTGACAGCCCCGAAGAAGCGCCGATCAGCTGGAAAGCGGGACTGATCCTGGCACTTCCGCTGAGCCCTGACAACCCTGCAGCTCCAGCCGTCTCTCGCTCAGGCTTGTGCGATGCTGCCACCGGTTCAGCTCATTCCCCTCCCCCGCTACCCCTTTTCTAGGATGGTCGCGTATCACCTGCCAGGGGCCAATGTACCACAGGTGGTACCCGTACCACTGGTTGAAAAGCCTTGATCCAGGTCACAGCGGCCTGAAAGGTGCCATTTATTTATTTATTTATTTATTTATGAGACTTATATACCGCTTTAAGTGCAAGCACTCTCTAAGCGTTGTACACTAGTAAGCAATGTATATATATATATTTACATTGCCCCCAACAATCTGGGTCCTCCTTTGACCTACCCCGGAAGGATGGAAGGCTGAGTCAACCTTGAGCCGGTGAGATTTGAACCGCTGACCTGCTGAACACAGTCAGCTAAAGTGGCCTGCAGTACTGCACTCTAACTGCTGCGCCACCTCGGCTCTTTTCCAAAAGGGCAACTGGACTGTTTTTTCCCCTTGAGGAGGAAGACGAAGTTTCGCTTCTCATCCAAGAAGCTTCATCAGTTCTGACTGGGTGGTGGCGGTGATGGATGGAAGGAGTTCGTTCTGACATTGGTGAAGAACTGATGAAGCTTCTTGGACGAGAAGCGAAATGTTGTCGGGGGGGGAAAAGCCCCAATCCAGTTGCCCTTTTTGAAAAAGCGCCTTTTGAGACAGCTACGGTGACCGTTTATTGGCCTGAAATAATGATTTGCAGGTGTGACCAGGTACGTTTATTAAATCCCAGCAATTTCTTTAGGTCTTCTAGCTGTGTGGATTCACATGCGTTTTTCCCGCCTTTTTTTTTGGTCAAAAGGTGTCGTATGCTCGCCCAAGCTCCGAGGTGATTAAAGATGCCAACTTATACATAAGTGGGCTGCCACGGACCATGACACAGAAAGATGTGGAAGACATGTTTTCACGGTTTGGACGCATTATCAACTCGCGTGTGCTGGTGGATCAGACTACAGGTGGGTGAGACCGAAGCAGCGCAGTTCCCCCACCCAGTTGGCTGCCTGCTGACCTACCTCAGAAACGGTCCCCAGGATGGTCCTCCAAAGCAGAGTGTCTCTCAACCTTGGGCCCTTTTAAGAGGGGTGGGATGTAGAGGTGAGAGACAGGCAAAGGCCGTGTGCAAAAAACTGCCCCTCCAAAACTTGTATTTCCCTTCTTTATCTCCCCCCTTCACATCACCATGGCGAAAGTGCGGCAGCTCTGTGACCTTGCCAGTCTGATAACAGCTAGCTCGCATCGACAAGATGTTATTGCCATTACTGGAATTTATAAATTACTTATAAATTTTAAAAATAAAATAAAATAAATACTGCTCCCTGTTTCTGGCTTCTGGCTTCTGTATTCCTGAGGATTGGTAAAGGATTTTAGCCAATGAAATGCTATTGCCATGTAGAAACTTTTGCTTCTTGTGATCTCTATATAAACAACAAACTGCTACGTGTGAGTAGCCATTTTTTGCACCCTGCAATGACTGAGCACTGATTACTACAGTGGGCTTCAACTCCCAGAATTTCCTCAGCTAGGGGAATTCAGGGAGTTTGAAAATCACCCTCCTTAAATAGGGGTGGGGGGAGGAGGGAGGGGAGAGTATGGGTAGTATGTTCAATAGTTCAGATTTTGGTGATAGAGGATTGCTCGGGCATTTTCCCGCAGACCGCATCCGATTGAGAAGAAGAGGAGAGGGACAAGTAAGTAGAAAGATGGAGGAGAGAGGGAGGAAAGGAGGAGAGTGAGGAAGAAGAAGGAAGGGGGAAGTGAAGAGATGAGAGGGGGATGCGATCTGGGGGGAAATGGGTGAGCAACGTCGGAATTTGTGTGTTGTATTTTAACTTCTTATGTATCTGAATTTTTTTTCTTATGGTTGTAATGAAAATAAAATAATAAAAATTGGAAAAAAAAATATAAGGCTATATGGCTTAGGGCCAGGCTATTTGCGAGACCGCCTACTACAGTGGTTCTCAACCTTTCTAATGCCGTGACCCCATAATACAGTTCCCCATGTTGTGGTGACCCCCAACCACTTATACATCACCGGGTGCCAGGGGGGTGGCCAAAGAAAAGGGGGAAAAAATGGCAGACAGCCTTGTTTGGCGACTCCCGTGAAATGGTCGTTGGACCCCAAATGGGGTCCCGACCCACAGGTGGAGAACCACTGGCCTACTCCCTCATAGTTCCCTTCGTCCGGTTAGATCCCACAGGCTGGGCCTCCTTCAGGCCCCGTCGGCCAAGCAGTGCCATTTGGCGGGGCCGCGGAGGAGGGCCTTCTCTGTGATGGCGCCCACATTTTGGAACCAACTCCCCCCGGAGATTAGGACCGCTCCCACCCTGTTGGTTTTCCGCAAGCTGCTTAAGACTTGGCTTTTCCGGCAGGCCTGGGGTTTATAAAATCTGACCCCTGGATGAATGTTATTGTACTGTTTGTTTTGTTAATTTATATTGTGTTTTTATTGTTAGCCGCCGGGAGTCCTGCGGGAGTGGGGTGGCTTATAAATTTTAAAAATAAATAATATAATTATAATAAAGTTAGAAGGGATCTTGGAGGTCATCAAGTCCAACCCCCTGCTCAGGCAGGAAAGCCTCTACCGTTTCGGGCAAAGGGCTGTCCAGTCTCCTCTTAAAAGACTCCAGGGTGGGAGCATCCACCGCTTCTGGAGGCAGGTGGTTCCGTTTAATCTTAAGCCTGACCAGCCCAGCAGTGTCGGGCCTTCTACTCTACCGAGCCGGAAGCCACGCTAACTTTGTCCCTGACTTCTGAAGTCCCCGGGTGTCCCCCGTGGCGGGTCTGGATGGCTTCCCACTTCCCTGGTAAAGCACGCAGCAGTGGGTGTTGGTCCAGTCTGGCCCAGGCAGAAGACAGCTGGGCGCCAACGAGAACCGCCCTGATCCTTCATTACCACCATCATCATCATCATCGTTGTTTTTTCTGTCTTTGTCCTGTGACTTGCAGGCTTATCCCGAGGGGTTGCCTTCATCCGGTTTGACAAACGATCCGAAGCGGAGGAAGCGATTTCAAACTTCAACGGCCACAAGCCGCCGGGCTCCTCCGAACCCATCACGGTGAAGTTCGCAGCCAACCCCAACCAGAACAAAAACGTGGCTCTCCTGTCCCAGCTCTACCACTCCCCAGCTAGACGGTTTGGGGGGCCAGTCCATCACCAGGCTCAGAGATTCAGGTAGGTTAGGAAGGACGAAATGAGTCAAGAGGTCTGTAACTGTTCTTCCCTCCCTCCCTCTCTTTCTCTCCGCTTCTTCTGCTTTCTCTCTCTCTTCTCTCTTTTTTTTTTTTCCTTCCGAAAAAGTCATTGCTGTTCATTCTCAAGACACGGCACCGAGTCTTCCAACAGATAGCTCAGTGGAAGGGGAAGAGAAGCAGCCCTGGATCACACTAAATGTTACCCGTTCCACACTATTAAGGCTAACTCCGTGTGAAGAGTTTGCGTTCCGATGACTGGCCTGCAAAAGCCACGTTTTGAGGGAGGGGATGCTGCTGGTTGCCCCCCACCCACGCCCCTCCCCACCCGTCACCCAGCCCCAATCACCCGATGGGTTAGTTTAATTAGCAGGGCGTCCCGTTGTTAATTCCACCGTAGCTCCTCCTAGCCTTGAAGGGGTCGCAATAGCAGTCTTAATGTAAGTGTGTATTTAGTGATTTCTGCTTTTTTACTTTAACCAACTCTTTCCCGATATTTCTTGACAGTTCACGTGGAACCCATCAGCTCGGCCCCAATTGCACCTCCAACTTCTTCCACTAGACTTTTTAAGTGCATTCTGTATAATTTTAGAGAGCCCTCGAAACAGTTTTCTTTCATACTTTAATGGCAGTGGAGTGTTTTTGACCCCCAAATGAATATGTAACCCCTGACCCCCCACAAAAGTATGTCAGTAATCATTGTGAATGTCCATTTCTGTTCTTATTTTTTTTTTCTTTTTATCTTCTGTTCTCTCAAGATTATTTTTTACTCTTCTCACTTTCTCTCTCTCTCTCTTCTCTCTCTCTCTTTCCTAATAGAGTTTCATTTAAATAGAGAATTAAAAGCCCTCCAGATCCTCTTTTCCCTATTAATAAAGATTGAAAATTTGTCTGTCTGATCTGATGCTTCGTAACAGTGTGGTAAAAATACAAGATTTTTTTTTTTAAACTTTCTGGAAAAAAATGGTGACACGTAGTATTCATTGCCCAAAATTGGTTTTTTGAGTTGCCTGAGTCCAGCACTAAAACACCCTCTCTCTTCCCCCAGTCTAAAATAGCCAGAGCAAATACTAAGGGGTTCCTGTTATTGTTTATTTTTATTTTTAAAAATACCCCTTCTTACACTGCTTTTCTGACTAAAAATAATTGCTTCAAGTGGTTTATAGAGCTAGAAAAATACAAATTATAAACTAGTGAAAGCCACGCCAATTAAATTAGACCCAGATGTCATTCACATTAAAGCCCCCAACAAGAGTTTTCACAGCTGTGTTTGACTGACTGTATTTGCAGGGAATAAGATGCAGTGGTTATCTGTGGTCTTAAGAGTCTCAAAGCCAGGATTTGTACGTTTGCCTTTGTGGGCAAGTGTCCAAAGAAGAGCCCCCAAAGGTCTGGGCAACAAACTCTTCTATGTGTGTAAAACTTATCTGTGTGATTTTATTAGAAAATAAAAGAGCGCAATTACTAATGAATAGCACACAGCCCTGGCACTTGAGTCTCCCTCCTGTTCTTCTCCCTCTCTTTGCCATTGTTTGACAAGACACAATAATTGTAATTTAAACCAAGCATGTCATAGAGTTGTTTACAAATTTCCTTCCTTCCTTCCTTCCTTCCTTCCTTCCTTCCTTCCTTCCTTCCTTCCTTCCTTCCTTCCTTCCTTCCTTCCTTCCTTCCTTCCTTCCTCTTTTAAACAAACTTTCGGCTTACAGCCCAGTCTTTCTATTTTCCTCCCTTTTTTTTTTTTTACCCAAGAGTTGCCTAGCTGGCAGAGAAATGTACAGAGGAGGAGAATGTTTTAAAACAGACTGACTTAACCGTCTTTCAAGAGTCATTTCGATCTTAAAAATAGAAATGGAGAGATGTGTAAATCGTATTTGCGTGCCCCTACTGGATAACCAGTCCTTCTGAACTCAGTTCTGAATAAAAAAAATAAAAAATAGGGAATTTGGAAGCATGCATGACAGTTTGTTAAAAGTGTGTATGTTCTCAAATCATTCTTTTTTATAGCTGCAAAACAACAACAATAACCCCCCAAACTTTAAGACCCCCCTCCACCCGCCCAGCATGTAGTTTTGCAGAGATATTTTAAAAATTGCCCTGCAAATGCCAACATTTTTATCCCTAAAATCTCCAGCTTGATAGCAGTTAGAGCAGTGTTTCTCAACCGTAAACCATTTTAAGGCATGTGGACTTCAACTCCCAGAATTCCACAGTCAGCAATGCTGGCTGTGGAATTCTGGGAGTTGAAGTCCACATGCCTTAAAATGGTCACGGTTGAGAAACACTTAGAGCAAGAACACTCACGACATTTAGGATTTTCTTTCCAAATAGAAAGCCAGACGGACATAAAAGTATTAACTGATTGCTCCTACATGCTTCTCGCGTTAATTACAGATCAGTTTGAGAAGCTTTTAATTTACACTTTTCAATCTTCCAAACCACTGCCGCCTTTTGACTGATGAGCTGCTTAAATTTATGTTGCATTCACCCTTTCTTGAGAAGGCTGGACAAAGGGATGATGGTCTTGGCTATCTCCCTCTCATTCATTAGCCAGACCGTGGCTCGCTCTTTCTTGGATAGCACAGGAAGGGATGACCCGTAGTGGCTCAGTCAAGCTCCTATCTGGCGTGCTAGTCTTACTTCTGTTTTTGTCCTTTTTAAAATAACCTTTTAAACAAGATTTCTAGCAGCCTTTCCCCACTCCACTCATGTAGAATCACCCTTCAGCTGGAGACGCTTGGTCTCTTGAGTGATGGTCAGGTGTCCACGCAGATGGGCAGCTAGAAAGTCCAGCCTCAAACACTGAAAGTGGCAAAGGGTTTACAAAGTACAAATAGGAATGGAGAATTCTGCTTCGAGAGAAGTTTGCCTGCTAGGCCGGACTGGGAGGCAAATATAAACTGGTCAGTCAGCAAGCTGAACCAGGATCTTAAATTTCCTCAGAAGAATCTTCCCCAGGACACAAATAGGACCAGCATCTCTCTCTCTCTTTTTTTCCCAGTTAAAAAAATGCAAACCCCAGCAACTTTTTCGTTTGCTAATCCTCAACTGTTGCTTAATGCCGTCAGTCGTAAAGTCACTAATAACAATATTTTCCTAAATTCCTCAGTGGAAGGAGAATAATAAGCTGAGGGTTAATTAAGCGCCCTCTCTAATGATTCCTCCTGCTGACAATAATCAAGCCAGTAACAATTAGAGCTTTAATTTCAAGTGCCATTAGCAGGCATTTTAATTTGTAGCTCGTAGGTGGTTGTTTTTTTTTTTAATGTAAAACAGATCAGTTAGTTCGTCCCTTAAAGGCGTAATAACAGTAGTTAATTTTCCGTTGAGAAATTTTGTTTGAAAAGTGTTACTACAAATCACATAGCAAAAGCTCTGGTGCTTGTTTCATTTAGCATATCCCCTCTTTAAGTCCTGTTCATCTACTCTTCCATTCCTCTTTCATGATTTTACATGGATAGTCACCCTTTTAATTCACTAGGCCAGTGTTTCCCAAACTTGATAATTTTAAGGCATGTGGACTTCAACTCCCAGAATTCCACAGCCAGCATTGCTGGCTATGGAATTCTGGGAGTTGAAGTCCACATGCCTTAAAATTGTCAAGTTTGGGAAACGCTGCACTTGGCTGTGCATTTGTAAACTCGATCCATATCATGAAAACGGCCGTCTTTTTAATTTACTGCTTTTCTGGTTTTGGGTTTCTTATTCCACTCTAATGTGCTTTTTTTTTTCTTTTCTTCCTGTTTTGTTTTGATTACTTTTCAAGTCTCCTCACTCATTTTCATGCAACCTTCACTGTAAATTCCTTCTAGAGATTTCCTTTCCAGTGGAAAACCTTGCATGTCATTTTTTTTTAAAGTCTCCTGAAGTGGGTGGCACCCGGAGGGGTTTATTTGAGGATTCTTTGTCGTAGAATTCTTGTCACTTGTTAAATAAATAATGTTCTTCTATCTGCCTGTACTCGGCCTCTTCCGTGTAAGGTGAGAATACCCCTGCCCACCAAGTTAAGCGACTTAAGGATATTTTTTTTTTGGAGGGGGGGGGTTAGGATTGCCTCTTAACCTGTGCCAAACTGGGGCACGTTAATGTGGTTTTCAAGGATCCTGAATGATCTGAGTTTTTTTCCAGCCTTTCAACCTTAAGAGGGATGGACTTCCAACTCCGACATAACGAGCTGGAGAATTCTGGGAGTTGAAATCCACCCACCTTTAAAGTTGCTGAGATAGAGACAGTGGGGGGGGGGTGTCAGCTTTTGGAGGTGTGTGTCTAGCTTGAAAGCCTCCCCGAGCCGGCTGAATTGGGAAGAATGTATGTGGGGATTCCCTTCCCCGTCCCCGGGACCCCAAGTCTTAGGGAGTCCACACGGCCGTCTCCCGCCCCTCGTTCCACTAAGAAGAATTCGCTGCTGTTGGTGTCCCGAAAAGCCAAGATTAAATAGGACTTGGAAGATAGGTCACCAGAGGGGGGGGGGGGAAGCAGAAATAAATCCACGCTGCCTCCTTTTGCAATTTTCCAGACCACGCGTGGGACAACGGACTTGACTCCCCAAAAAGGATCTTATTATATATAGACGGTCTCCTTGCGTGGGCCTGCTGCCCCTTGAGTGACAATTAGGGTTGGGCAATTAAATAATGCTGACTGCTCTCCAAGGCAGCTGGTAGATTCACACACACACACACCCCCCCCCGTGAAAAATCGAGCATTGTGGAGGTCCTGCCCCCCCCTAGTTTTGCTTCATCAACGAGGCGTTATTTTGTCCGTCAGAAAAGCAGTCTCTTTCTTACCTAATACCCCCCACCCGCCCCAAACCTTCCCAGGTCTCGAGTTCGAGATTCTGCCCCGGTTGCCGTCATCTTGACACGTGCCCGGGGGGAGAGAGAGAGAGTGTGTGTGATCCCTCATCCTCCTAGATCAGTGGGAGAGAAAAATGACGAATCTCGGGGTGGAGTGGGGAGAGAATCCTTTTTCTGGAGGGCCCACGCAGCATCCTCCTTGGGCGGTCAGGATTGGGTGGGAGATCAAGGGAGTATTTCTGGGGATGGGGCGTGGGAACGAAGGAGGACCACCACCCCCCCTTGCCCCCCCAAACGCCTGGTCTGCCAGCCTTTCTGTCCACTTGCCCCGTCAAAGGGGGACGGTCCGAGATGTCGCCTGCCTCATCTCCCACCGACCCAGGCCACACGGGGATTGCCGGGCCAAGGGAGCGAAGATCACCGTGCCCTCTCCGTGCCCCTGGCACCGAGGATCTGAATGCAGGAGGCCTGGTCTCCAGCTAGGGCCCTGGCTGACGTGGGCAGGGACAGCTTATCCTGTCCTTGGTTCGCTTCACGAGGACCTGCGGCGGGAGACATTCCGCGTAGCTCCTCTTCCGCCTTCACAGACTCTTTTAAGGAGATAGCCTGGCTGGTGGGTGGCAGGTAAAAGCAGCAGCAGCAGCAGCAGCAGAGAAATGGATGGCACCAGGGAGGCTGAGCTTATTAACGTGGGCACAAGCTTCCGTGGAGCAGAGCCCACTTTGTCAGGTGGAGGGAGGGCTGGTGGTCGTGACCTTGACCGTCCCTTAAAGCAGAGTCAGGGACCTGTAGATCAGTGGTTCTCAGCCTTTCTAATGCCGCGACCCCATAATACAGTTCCCCCATGTTGTGGTGACCCCCAACCACTTATACATCACCGGGTGCCAGGGGCGTGGCCAAAGAAAAGGGGGAAAAATGGCGGACAGCCTTGTTTGGCGACCCCTGTGAAATGATCATTTGACCCCAAATGGGGTCCCGACCCACAGGTTGAGAACCACTGCTGTAGCTGGTGTTGGACCCCAACTTCCATTGCTTTGTTTGGGGGTTTTTATTTTGGGGGGTGGGGGATAATTTGTTTTGTTTTCCACCCGATAGGAATTGGGATTAAGCAGCATCTACCTCACTTTCCCGCTCCTGATCTAGATAATGGAGAGGAAACAACCTCTGCAGATGTGGTCTTGCTTGTAAAGAAGTGACCTGCAGATTTAATACTTGTATTATGAAAGAAAGCGCCTCCCCCCCTCCCCGAAAGAGTAGTGGGATTCTTCGGTGGCGCCCTTTCATACTACTCCTATTAAATGAGCGCAGCGTAGCCAGAAAGCAAAAAACCAGCAGCGTCCCTCCTTGTTGGGATGTCGAGACTCAAACCCACAACCGCTGCTGATTCTCTCTCTCTCTCTCTCTCTCTCTCTCTCTCGGCTTTCTGACCACAGCTTGCCTCTCCTCTCCTTGCTCTCCCTTCTCTCCCCCCCCCATTTTTGTGTTCTGCAGCAAATGGGAGGGGGGACAGTGCTTCTTCACCCATCTGGTGAAGTGGGACCTAGCCTGGGAAGGTTGACCCCATCGTTGGTTCGTTTCCCCCCCCCCCAAAAAAAAGGTGCCTTGCTGTCTTTTAACTATCCGCTCTGCCCCCCCACGGCAGGGAGACGAGAGACGCCCTGCTCTGTGGACCCTGTTCACATGACACCCCCCCACTCCGTGGTTTTTTTTTTAAAAATCTGGGACCCCTGTTGAGTTTTTTGCTTGATTGAACTGAACTTCTTTTTTTGTTTTGTTTTGTTTTGTTTACATGAACTGTTGTGTGCTTTTTATTTGCTAGGTTCTCTCCTATGGGTGTAGATCACATGAGTGGGCTTTCTGGTGTAAATGTCCCAGGAAACTCTTCGGGCTGGTGTATCTTCATCTACAACCTGGGCCAAGATGCCGATGAGGGAATCCTCTGGCAGATGTTTGGCCCCTTTGGCGCGGTGACTAATGTGAAAGTCATCCGCGACTTCAACACCAACAAGTGTAAAGGCTTTGGCTTTGTGACAATGACAAACTATGAAGAAGCCGCCATGGCCATAGCGAGTCTTAACGGCTACCGGCTGGGGGACAAACTCTTGCAGGTTTCCTTCAAAACCAACAAGTCCCACAAATAACTTCTTCGCTCGTGGCTTCTCCTCCTCCTCCTCCTCCTCCTCCTCCTCCTCCTCCTCCTCCTCCTCTTTTTTTTTTTTTTTGTATGGAATAGATAATTGAGTGACGAAAAAGTTTGAACCTTTTTTTTTTGGTGGTTGTTTTCGTTAGTGTACAACTCAATTTTTTTTTTTCTTTTGGGCGCGCCAATTTTCGCAAAAAAGTTGTTTGTCTTTAGTCTAAATGAAAAGGGGAGAAGGGGTCTTCTGCTCTGGGATGCCACCAATATGTTCAAATGTTTTGGGTTTTTAAAAGTCCCGTAATGGTTCTACTTTTTTTTTTTTTTAAAAAAAGTTTCTTTTAAAGTAGTCCTGTTTTCGCAAAATCTCCCTTTGGACCCCAACATCTTAGTTAATGAAACCATTTGCACCCGGTGCCAGTGAAACTGTCGGACATCTGCTCCCTTTAATTTCACTGAATAGAGTTTGCCAAGGTAGGACCTCGGCCAAAATCCTGTTGACCCCAGTACTTTTCAGCAATGCTCTTAGTTAATAACAAGTTCCCTTTTAGCAAGAGATTTGCTTGTGAAAAATTAACTGGTGAAAAAAATGACTAAAAGGAAGCCTGGAGAATAACGAAATGCCACAACGTCGACTGTGTTTGTCACTCAGTAGACAAAACCCAAACTGGGAAATAAAAAAATTAACTTTTTTACAGTTCGTTTCCCTCCCCCCTTTAAAAGCCCAGTTTCCGTAAAAAGGACCAAAGTGTTTTGAGAAAACTCTGGGGTGATTTCAAGAATAAAAGAAAGGGGAAAAAAAAAATATCCAGTTCCCAACATTGCCACTTCCTCTAAATTCTTACCTTCCAATTATTGTGTTTTCTGTGCATTGCTTTCTGGTAAAAGAAACGTGGCAATCTCCTCTTGACATATTTTTAGTTGGAATAACCGAATCCCCTTGCGAAGGTCTGACAAACATTTGAGCATTATAATTTTTTGCATCCCTTCTCATAATTACTAGAAATTTTTTTTTCGTATTTTAATAGTGAATTTTGTTTTGACAAATAGCTTTTACCGATTGAACGCTCAGCAGAAAAGGTACATTAAAACTTGCAAGTTTGAGATTAAAGAGACATATTTTTTTTATTTTTTTGTTTTGGTTAGATTTCAATGTTTTAATTAATTAATCCCCCAGCGTTTACTTCAGGCTGCCTTTAATCTTTTGAGTTCTGTTTTCTGTTAATTTTCTTTTGCTTTTTTGTGTTTTCGTTTGTTTTTACTTTTGCATTTAAGACCAATTAAATTTGATTTGGTTTTGCTGAAATTTTGTTTTGGTTTGTTGTTTTAAGTTTTTCTCCCTTCCTTGCCATGTTACACAGTACCCAACAGTGAACGATGACATCGGCCCTTTTCCGAATAATTGGGGGATTTTAAAATGACAAGAATCAACCGATTGGTAGGAGGTCAGGAGCTTAACCAATGAAAGCACTTGCAGTCACTTCCAACAACAACACGGCGAGCGTTGAAGTGGCTTGGAAAGCATTTACAGCTGAAGCAGGATCTAGTTGGCTAGATCCGTAAGGTTTATAAACCAAGCGGTACTTTTGGGTGAAGAGAAACCTATCTAATTCTAAATTAGATTTAAGCCTGTTGCACGTTACCTCTGGCAATCTCTCTCGTGTAAGTCGGTGGAGAGGCAGGGCTGATTCTGTTTTGGACCTGCGATGTTGCCGGTTTCTTTCTGTTTGTGAGCCTCCTTGCACAGGACCCTTCCGGCTACATCGTCATCTTTCCGCCAGTGTTCAAAATCTAGAATTTGGTGGATTCGAGCAACACTTAACGGAGACTTAGAGAAGCGTGTCGAAGTCTCCCAGGCAGCTGAAGTGCACCCCACACCGTCCTGGTGGGGGAAAGACCCACCCATGAAAACGGTGACCGTGGGTGGCTTCCCTCGCAGTCCTTCACGCAGCCTTTAGCCTTCACGGTGTGTCTGAGATACATAACAATTTTTCTTCTCTTTTTTTATTTTTGGGGTGACTGGAGGAAAAGCGCCCCGTCCGAAGAGTTTTTACTCACCACGCAAAGCCGCTGCGTCCATTGTGAATCCTGATCTTGAGTCTCTTTGGCGAAGGAACGCCATTCCAGAAATATCTGCTTTGCCTCATGCTTTTTTGATGGCACCTTTATTTGAGAATTAAGATGGATCCCTTTTACAAGCGGGGTTCTCGGCCCCAAGATTATACACGGCCCTACTTGAAAAAAAACAACAACAACAGCTAAATAGATAGTCTCTTTGGAGGTTATTGCTGTCTTAGCTGCCGTCACAATTTGGGTTGTCAAGTGATTTGTGACAACAGTTCGGAAAACCTTGCTTAATAATGCTGCCTTTGTTCTGTGGTTCTTCCAAAATCTTAATTCCTGGACAGCCCTAGGTGTTTTTTTTTTGTTTTTTGTTTTTTTTTTAGTTTGGCCTGATCAAGTTTACACCAGAGCCTGGCAAGGTTTACTTTCCTTGTCATTTGCAATGTTGATCACAGAATTTCCACGTTACCTCTTTGAGTGTTTTCCATGGCGAGGTGAATCGCTCATCGTTTTCCTGTTTCTGGTCAAATTAACATCATGTAAATCTTTGACATTCCACTTGGAATTAACCTGGTACCGTGTTCAAAATAACATTTCCAGTCATTGGGCGTTAACGCCCAACTGCCATTTTGACAAAATCGGGTTGCCGAAGAGACCGCTGTCCAGCGCCTGGAGACTCCCAAGATATATTTCCCCCCCTTTTACAGCTTCCATTAATCTCTTTTTCTGTTGGGTGATTCTTTTGACGTAGCCTGACATCTCGGGTTTTTTTTTTTTTGAAGCCGTATAGAACATTCCTTTGGTGTGTTTTTTTTTTAAATGCACAAAACAGTCTTGATTATAAATACGTCGATGGAGATTATAAGGCATGGCTAACCTCGATCACAAAGCATTTCTTTTACGGTCCCTGTTTCACTCCTTTTGTCGCTCTTCATTCTCATTTTAAAAGCAGCTTCCACCACATGGCCCGTAAGACCTTCCAGACGTGACACACGATTCCTTTCTAATTCATTGGCCGTACGTTACAGATGTTGACTCTGGATACAGAGGATAATCTGCCCTCTCTACTGGAAGGGCGGGTGTAGGTACATCCTTTTTCCTCTCATTGCTATTTTTTCTCTGCTATTTTGTCAAGTAAAACATGCCTCCGCTCATCGGTCACATCGGTTTGGCCAGCTTCTGTAAGAAGAAATATAGCAGATTTCTTTGGGCAAATACAACCAGTAGCACAGGGGGTCTTATTCTAGGGGTTTATTGCCATTTCTCTGGCTGTTGTTACTAGGATTCACCCAGTCTTCCATCTTCCCTTGAGTCTTGCTCTCCAATCGCCGCCATCTTCCCTAATCTGCTTTTGGGAGTTCTGGTTAGGAGTCCCGCTAAGCTAACGGCACGGGACGAGAACGTATTAAAACTTTTTTTTACACGTGAGGGAAAGGATTCTGGTGTCACCGTTGGGAGTCAAAAGCCCTAAGTCACGAAAAAAACCGCCGGGACCATTTTCTCTTGCTACACATTCCCTTTAAAATTCCCATTTGATCAGATAACGATTTAAAAACAAAACCAAAACAAGCGTTTGGAAGGAATTAAGGCCATTCTTAAAAGATGCATCTCAAGGGGCTGGGAGTTGGATTTGATTAGCCTTTTTCTCTCGTTGCTTCTCCGGTTTCCGAATGAAATTTTCCTTTGAGTGGCCTAAGATGGCCTTGTCGTCGCCTACTTTCAAAAAGTTGTTTTAAAATAAGGATTTTGGGGGGGGGGTCTTTCCGCCCGTCTGGGAAAAAAAGGTGAAACAGCAATATGCATACAGTATGTATAAAATGAAAATGGGTTTTTTTTTTTTTTTTTAGTCTGAGGTGACAGTAATGGAAAGAATTAATCCTTGCTGCTGGTAATTGGACAGTTTGTGGTACCCTAGGATTAAAGTACCAAGATATATTCTAGGCTAAATGCTTATCGTATTCCAGAGAATTGCCAAACTCTGCCAGGGCAGTTGAACACCTTCTCTGCTTCATCCATATACCTTCTTTGCGGTTTTGTGCCAATTTTTTTTTGAGGGGACAAAGTTAGCAGAAAAAAGCTATTCACGCGAGAAACATTTTTTTTTTACATTTAGCGGTGCAAGTCCTTTTACGGATTAGGCTGAATGTCTTATTCCCCCCGCCCCCCCAATTCTTTAAAACTCTATTTACAAAGGTATATCTTCTTGATCGAAGTAGACTTGATTTTTTTTTTTAAAAAAAAATCTGATTAGATTTTTTTAGGTCACTTTTTGGGGGAGAGAGAAATGATTTGTCTATAAATTTGCAGAAATGATTTCCAATTTGTCAGAATCCAAAATTCCTTTTTTTTTTTTAAAAAAAATTTTTTTTGTTTGTTTAAAAATCCAGGATTGTTCCCCTTCACCCAAATGTTTCATGGAGATGTAATTGTTTGCTCTCGTAAGCCGAGCACACGTTTTCCCTTCCCAAGCGAAAAAGGATGATGGGGTTTTGGTCTGCCAAAGTTTAACTCAACAATGAGTAAATTTTGCAGTTCTCATACTGACATAGCCACTGCTTTGTGAGGATCAATATCTCCCTTCTGGCTGGAAATAAATTTGCTGAGAATTATGCATGCTGATATTAAATGTGGGCCGTTTTGTTTTCCAGTGTATTAAATCCAATTTAGGAGAAAGGATTGCCAGCAGACTTCATGCTTCCTATAATTCAGGGTGCATCTTTTTTTTAAATAAATCTCGTAAGCTAGCCCATCAGTTCTCAAAACAGGAAGCTCTTTTGCATATTTTTTTTTTTTTAAATGAACAAATGGACCTTATTTTTGTTTTCAAGAAAGGAAAGTTTTATATCCTCCCCGTCTACCAAACATTTAGTTCTTGGCTATGTTTCTGTGAAGACAGCTGTCTCAAACTCTACTGAACTTGAGAATCCCCTTGAAGGATTTTTTTTTCCCCCAAGATAATGTGCTTCTGGCAATTTTAGGGAGTCAAAATCAATTTTTTGCATTTGGTAAAAAATGTGGAGCTTTCTTCTCCCTTGCATTTGAAAGTTCATGCGTTTTCTGATCTGTATTCTATTTCCTTTATATATATATATATATATATAAATATATTTTTAAAAGGGTATTTGGTGTAATGTGCAGGTTATAACAATCAGTAGCTATTTTAGTTCAGTTTTTTTTTTTAAATCAGATACATTATACAGTTTGGCTGCTTATTTGTAGCATTCTTGTCTAACGGAGTTATCCAGGTTGAGAATAAGTTAGTTGTGTTATTTTCCCAGTGCATGGTTTAAAAATAAACAGAAAACACAGTTCAGTGGGACACCCAGCATCACACAGTGAGTAGCTTGTGTCGGCTGCCTTCCCTTCCCACAGCCCAAAAGCTTCCCAAAGCAGGTTTGCTGGCATTTTTATGGGAGGTGGAGGGTTGTTTTTTTTGGGGGGGGGGAGGTTGGGTGTTTTTTTTTTTAAATGTAGTATAAACTGAATTTTCTCTTATTTTGTCAGACGGTAGGAAACCCCTAACAAGAGTATAACTGCCACCAAGTCTCTTTTCGCTTAATTGTGTATCGAGTTCTGCAAACGAGTTAAAGCTCTCCGCAGAGTTTTTGCTTTCTTGTTTTTTTGTTTGTTTGTTTTAAATTAAATCACTTCACCACAAAGGGACCTCTCTTTCCCCCCCCTCCCCCAAGACCCCATTTCAGAAGAATTGAAAGGAAACTTTGACGTTGAGGCACATTTTGTTTGACCCACACTTCTGACAGGACCGAGGGGGGGTTTTGGCCCTAGCTTCGGTGGGATACAAATGACACCCATCTTTAGTCTCACTTGGCTTCCCTTTTAACTGGTGTAAACCCCCCCCTTTTTTTCTCTCTTCTTCTTCTTTTTTTTTTTATAAAGCCATCTGTCTGTGCAACGGAAGGCTTTTATCGGTTCTCCCGTACTGTTACAGTATATATGCTTAAAAGACAACTTTTTTTGTATGTTTAGCGTGTTTTTAAGTTATTGATTTTGTTTTATATCGAAATAATTTATTTTTCAGGAACCACTTTTTTCATTTTAACTTTGTTTTTAACATGGGTTTACTTTAAATAAAGTATGACGCTGCTATCCTCCTGTCTCCACTGCCGTTGAATCCCCTTGTGTCTTTCAAGTGCCTGCTATTTGCGGAGGCAGCGCCCAAGGCCTCTTGCTTGACCAGATCCACCCACAAACATCTCGCTTGGTTCACACGTGGCCAACTTGAACAGCTTCGTCAAGTAACTGCATCGGGCCTCGGGAGGGGAGTACGTGGCAAGCGCATGGGAGCCATGCCCGGGGAGCATCTGTCTTGAGATGATGTGGGAACCGGGCCACCAATGTGAGTGGTGTTTGTGGCTCCATGCTCTCTTTGTCACGAGAAATTTAATTTCTGGTGGAAAAATGGAAATTGGGATATTTTTGCACTTGCTGTGGAATCACACCAACTGTGCTGGACCAGATCATAGCCAGCTAGAACTGTGTTAGAGTATTTAGCATTTAGAGCAGTGGTTCTCAACCTCTTTAATGCCGTGACCCTAACCGGTTGTAAGTCAAGGACTACCCAACCGGTCGTAAGTCAAGGACTTTCCCTGCCCGGGAGCGCTGCGCGTGCGTGGTGCCGCCCCCTGTGCCAGCCGAGGTGTAGCTGGCAAGCGGCAGAGACGGCGCAGGCCGACCACCGGCTGGGCTACCAGCTGGCCCAGCCCAAGGGAGGTAAGGCACCCGCCGGGCCCCACGCGCACCAGCAACCCTCCCTGCGCCCGCCGGCCTCCCACCTCCCACCCCTGGCCCTCTTTTACTTACATTTTTAGTAGTTGCTCAGCAGGGAGGGGTGGAAACTTCCAGACAGCTCGCCTTCGCTGCAGACAACTTGCAGCACCGTTTGCAGAATGGGACTTTTGGCGGGCTCAGCAGGGCAGAGACAGCCTGGACAATTCCTATTGGCTTTTGAAAGCCAATAGAATTAGACTCTATTCAAGAGAGTCTATTCTATTGGCTTTCAAAAGCCAATAGAATAAAAGGGAGTAGCACAGCTAAGGAAAAGGGGGGGGGGGGAAATTGCCGGAATGCGTTGTTTGGCGACCCCCGTGAAATGGTCGTTCGATCCCAAATGGGGTCCCGACCCACAGGTTGAGAACCACTGATTTAGAGGGTTAATGTTGAGTGGCTACACACTGATGTGCAGTTGTCCTTGGCGGGTGCCTCTGGATGCTTTTTGAAGCCATCTCTTAAGGAAAGGGCGTTTAACCCTTTAAATGCTACATGTTCTTACATACAGTTCTCTCAATGATACAACATTAACCCTGTAAATGCTAAGTACTCTAACACAGTTCTAGCTGGCTATGATCTGGTCCAGCACACCAACAGCATCATTTTATTTGGCCACTACTTTTTTTGGACTACATTTCTAGAATTTGCTACTACACTCTCATGATCCATTTGCCCTCAGGGCAAGAAGGACCTCCTATTTAAAGCCACAAACCAGGAATTCTTGACATGCTTGCTGTCAACACTCTCACAGGTTGACAATCATACCAGTGACTGTCATTTAATAATATGTCAGTTTGTTGAGACGTCTTTTTTTTTTTTAAAGTCAGGCTAGTCCACTCTGATTCTTGGGAAAGGATGTGGCTCTAGTCTTAAATGCTTGGGGGGTATTTCTGGCTGCTCTGCTAAAGTTTGGAATTGCCCCTTTTTCCTAAACTTAAACGTATGCTTATTTCAAGATACGCTGTGCTGCTTTCCTTTTTTTTTTCTCTTCCATGTTCTTTTTAACAGATCTGTTAAGAAAAAACACTGCAGTGTTAGGCAGCAACAGAAGGAATTAGATACCAGAACATTTGTATGCCTCTTGCCTAATAAAACTCTTATATATATTTTTTAAATTAAAAGTGTAACATGGAATTTTGGACAGGACCGCTAGACTTTTCCATCGAGTGGCGTGGTGGCCTAGCGGTGGAGTCTTCGCCTCACAATCAGAAGGCAGTTTGAGTTTGATCCTACGTAGCGGCAGATATTTCGCTCCGTGGGCACAAAGGGAAAATATCTGCTGCGAACCTTTGCGTAGGTGTCAGGAAGGGTATCCAGCCAGTAAATGCTCAGCTCCATTCAGCCGCCCCCACTCCACCCGATGCAAGGGATCCCAGGATCATTAAAAGAAAAAGAAAAAACTCTTAGCTTTTGCCATAATCTACAGAAATGTCCAATATTGGGCCTAGGTCCGTATAGATCTAGTTCAGAGGTGGGGAACCTTGGCTCTTTTATGACTTGTGGGCTTCAACTCCCAGAATTCCTGAGTCAGCCACGCTGAAGGGAAAGGCAGAGTTTCCAAGCTGGCTCAGGAATTCTGGGACTTGAAGTCCACGAGTCATGAGGGGGCCATAGTTCCGTCATGCTGGCTCAGGAATTCTGGGAGTTGAAGTCCACAAATTATGAAGGGGCCATAATTCCCCCATGCTGGCTCAGGAATTCTGGGAGTTGAAGTCCACGAGTCATGAGGGGGCTATAATTCCCCCATGCTGGCTCAGGAATTCTGGGAGTTGAAGTCCATGAGTCATGAGGGGGCCATAGTTCCCCCATGCTGGCTCAGGAATTCTGGGAGATGAAGTCTACGAGTCATAAAAGAGCCAAGGTTGCCCACCCCTGGACTAGTCACTCAAGATGAGCGGTGTAGAAAATTGATAAACTACTACTTTCTGCTGAAAATTTAACAAATGCAGCCAGCGCACCGTTTTTTATTTTTATTTTTTTTTACGCACTTCACAGCACGCATTGTCCTATTTGCTCGGTTCCTCTGCCTGCGGTTGCTGAAAGTAGATTTATTACAGATAGTCCTTGACGTAATGACCATAACTGAGCCCAAGATGTCCGTTGCTAAGCAAGACATTTGTGATGTGAGTTTTGCCCCACTTTATGACCCCACTTCACGGTTGTTAAGTGAATCTGGCTCCCCCCCGACTTTGCTTGTCAGGAGGTCACCCAAGAGGACCACGTGACCCCCGGGACACGGCGAGCGTCACCAATATCAAGCGACCAAATTTTGATCACGTGACCCTGGGGCTGCTGCAACAGTCTTACATGTGAAAATGGTCCTAAGTCCCTTTTCCAGTGTGGTTGTAACTTTGAACCGTCACTAAATGACTGGTTGTTTGTATTTACTACACTTTTGTGCTGCCCATCTCCTTTACAAGGTGCGTGACTCTGGGCAGCTGAACTGGATCCTGGTGTTTTCTCTGGCTTTTCCAACATGGCAACTAACATTGTTTCCTCCCAAAAATTGACTTGGATTTGTAAAGGGAATGGAGGTCACGCTGAGCGCAGATACTTGGGTCATTTAATCTTTGCCTCTGTACGATGCCGTGTCTTTCTAGCAAGCGTTCCTCGGAATCTGCCTCTTCTAACAACTGTGCGCTGGAGACGCCTTGGGTTTCTTTACTTTCTAATAACCAGTTTATCTCTTCTGCTCACTGCAGCGATTTATTACAAAGTGTGCAATGGAGGAAGGAGCCCTTGTGGATTTTAGTCGTTGCCGACTCTCGGGAGCGGTGCTCACCTCCGCTTCAAGGCCATTGAAGACATTTCCGCGGCCGTGTGACCAAACATGACCTCGCCGAGCTCTTGTTTCCTCCCCACTGAGGTGGTGCCTATTCATCTACTCACATTTGCACGCTTTCGAGTCGCTAGTTCGGCAGGAGCTGAGCCGAGGATGGGAGCTCACCCCGCCGTGTGGCGCCCAGCTCTCGGACCTGGCCTGCCGGCTTTTCAGCCGATGAGCCCAGCACTTTTGCCGCAGAGCCACCCCCATGTAATGGAGGGGGTCTCCCTCAAAAGCATAGTGGGAGCTTCACCCCTCAGATGAAGAGGTTCACTCGTGTTTATACATTCCAGAAAGGAGGGGAAAGGGGCGCATATTCACAAGGAATAAGGTGTAACAGCTCTCGGGTTACTTCCTGCCCTTCTGTTATCTACAGAGAAGAATGGTCTTGGAAGGAACGAGGGCATCTTGAGATTCAGGGATTGCTGGGGGAATGTCCCAACCCCAGACATGTCACAGATCACTGTGAGCTACAAAAACTGGAATAACCGATTTGGAAACCCTCCAGCGAAGCCATTCCGTTGGTTAATTGTTGTCACTGTCAGGAAATTTCTCCCCAATCAATCAGAATAGAGCTGGAAGGGACCTTGGAGGTCTTCTAGTCCAGCCCCCTGCTCAAGCATGAGTCCCTATATCATTTCAGTCCACTTCTTGTCCTGCTGTTATGTCTCAGTTTGTCTATTAAGCAGTCCCCTTCATCTGAAAAACTTGATTTTCTCCATAGTACCTGCTTATAGGGGTTGTAGTAGAACAATCCCCTTGTGCTACGAGCAGCTCCAGTGGTGGTTCTAAAGAATAAACTGTCCAAGGGACTGTACATCAATCACCATATTTGACTGCAGCGGTGGAGTAGCCAAGATGCCTGGGGGGGGGGGGGGAAGGTAGCATTTGGCTCACTGCTTGGATGTTCCAATGTGGTTGAAGTTCTTGCACGTGAGTGGGATAACAACCTATATCCTTTTCAGATGGGAAAGAATTTCTGACGCTTTGTTTCCTTTCTTTTTCAAAGCAATGGGGTTTGGGGGCTCTAACCCTGGGAAATTGGAGCCATACACCCACAAGTAGGAAGAAGGGGAAGTGACATAGGTTCCAGTACAGTGGGGTTTTCTCAATGCAAGGCAGTTAAATATTGGCAACAGATAATAATAGCACTAGCATTTAGATTGTGCCACATTAGGAGAAGAGAGAGAAGGGAGGGAGGGAATGGAAGAAAGAAAGGGAAAGAAGAGGAAAGAGAAGAAAGGGAGAGAATGGGAAGAGGGAGGAAGAAGAGAATGGAATAGAATTACAGTAGAGAAGAACAGAATAATGACTAGAACAACATAATAGAACAGAACAACACAACACAATTGGAAGGGACCTTGTAGGTCGTCGCTTTGTACTGCTTTACAGCCCCCTCTAAGCGGTTTCCAGAGCCGGCCTTATTGCCCCCAACAATCTGGATCCTCATTTTACCGACCTCGGAAGGACGGAAGGCTAAGTCAACCTGCAGCTGGT